TATTTCTCTATTTCTTATCATGTCTCATCTTACATATCATTCATTTTCATTTCCATTTTCATTTTTATTCTCTTTCAGTCAGTCTGTTTATATATCTATGTCCCTTCTTTTCCCTCCCCATCTCTCTCTCTCTATCTATCTATCTTTATCTCTCTCTCTCTCTCTCTCTCTCTCTCTCTCTCTCTCTCTCTCTCTCTCTCTCTCTCTCTCTCTCTCTCTCTCTCTCTCTCTCTCTCTCTCTCTCTCTCTTCCTCTCCCTCTTCTTCTCTTCCTCTTTCTTCCTCTCCCTCTTCCTCTGTCTCTCTTCCTCTCTTTCTCCCTCTTTCTTTCTCTTTCTCCCTCTTTCTCTCTCTTTCTCCCTCTTTCCCCCTCTTTCTTCCTCTTTCTCCCTCTTTCTTCCTCTGCCCCTCTTTTTCTTCTTTCTTCCTCTCCCTCCCTCTCTCCTTCTTTCTCCCTCTCTCCCTTTTTCTTCTTTGATGGTGGTTAGAGCTATCGCGTGGAAGGAAAAGCGCAGGAATTTGGCGCAGGGAATTTGCGCTGTTCTTTTGTTTTGATTTTTTGGCGGGAAAGCGGTCAGAGGCGCTTCCGGGGGTTAATGGATTTTTTTTTCTTTTTCTTTTTTGCTTTCTTTTTTTTTTTGGTTTTGATTTGATTTGCTTTGTTTTTGTTTTTGTTTGCGCTTTGGTGTATATATTTCGTTTCTGGTTTTCGTGTGTGTGTTTTTTCCCCTTTTCATTCTGTTTTCTGACTGTCTTTTTCTTTGTGTCTCTCTCTTTTTTTTTCCTCTCTCTCTCTCTCTCTCTCTCTCTCTTCTCTCTCTCTCTCTCTCTCTCTCTCTCTCTCTCTCTCTCTCTCTCTCTCTCTCTCTCTCTCTCTCTCTCTCTCTCTCTCTCCTTCTCTCTCTCTGTCTTTCTCTCTGTTTTCCTATCAATTAATCTAACTTTTTTCCCTTTCTTTAATATTGCATTATTTTATTTTTCATTTTTCTTCTCGATGTTCTTTGTTTCATTTTGATCCCGTATGTGTGTCTTTGTTGTTGTTGTTGTTATTGTCATCTCATTTGTTATCTATTTGTTTTTTTCTGTATTTGTCTATTGTCTTTGATTTTCTTTTTGTCATTTGATTGTCTAAATAAAATACGGTTTGTTATAGCATGGACTTAATCGTTTTCTCTTGTGAATTCCACTACATTTTTTTTTTCTCGCCGATTGTTCCAACCGAGATTTTTCGTACCGTACTTTTCGCGGGATAACGAGCGCATTTAAAACGAACCGTTGTCAAGTATGAGATTCATTTACATGGTTTATCATACGATGCTAGATACTATATTTTTTATACTATTGTCTTCTTTCTTTCTTTCATTCTTTTCTTCCTTTTTCTTCTTTTTTCTCTTACTACTGTTTCTGCTATTACTCCAACTTCTACTATTACTACTACTATTACTATTTTTTTTCTTCTTCTTCTTCGTCCCCTTATTCTTAGTCTTCTTTATCTTTTCCTTCCCCGTCATTTTTGTCTTCTTTTTCTTCTTCTCCTACTTCCTCTTCCTATCTTTTTACATCTTCTTCCTTCCTCCTTTCTTTCTTCCTTCCTTCTCCTCCTTCCATCATATTCTCTCCTTCTTATGCTTCCTCTTCTCCCTCTTTCTCCTTTTTCCTTCTCCTTCCTCCTCTCTTATCCCCCCCTCTTCCTTCTTCCTCTTCCTTCTTCCTCTCCCCATTCCTCTTCCGTCTTCCTCTCCTCCTTCCTCCTTCGTCTTCCTCAACGTCTTCTCCTCCCTCCTTCTTCCTTCTTCCGCTATCCTCTTCTCTTCCTACCCCATTCCTTCTCCTTCCTTCCTCCTCCTCCTTCCTCCTTCCTTCCTCCCTCCTCCCTTCCTTCCTTCCTCCCTTCCTTCCTTCCTTCCTTCCTTCCTTCCTTCCTTCCTTCCTTTTCGTCCTCCTCCTTCCTCCTTTCTTCTTCTTCTTCCTCCTCCTCCGCGAAATAAACCGATTCGCGCGCCCATTCCGCTGCGCCCACAACCGGCTTGCGTCCAACAAACCAAGCCATTCGCGTTGACAGCAAGTTGACAGCTGATGACTCAACTGTCTTGGCAAATATGGCGTTCAAGCGGCGGGGCGAGTTGCTTAGTGCTTGTTGAGTGCGTTTGTTGTGTGGTTGAGTGTGGTTGAGTGCGTTTGTGTGTGATTGAGTGTGTTTGTTTGTGATTGAGTGTGGATGTGAGTGTGAGTGTATTTGTGATTGTGTGTTTTTAAAGTTTGTGTGTATATGAGAGTTTTAAATGTTTGTGTGTAAATGAGTGCATGAGTGTGTGTGTGTGTGTGTGTGTGTGTCTGTGTGTGTGTGTGTTTGTATGTATGTGTGTGTGCGTGTGTGTGTGTGTGTGTGTGTGTGTGTGCGCTGTTTTGTGTGTGGTAGTGCATTTGTGTGTCTGTATATACCTTTGTAGGTGTGAATGTATGATTAAGAGTTTGTATGCTTGTGTGTACGTGTAAATTTGTCTATGTCTGTATGTTCCTGTTGTGGTTTTGTGTTTGTGTGTTTGTTTGTGTGTTTATTTGTGGGCCTGTGATTCACCCAACTGCCCCCGATATAAAGAACGCTACATAAAACAAGAAAGGAAAAAAATAATATATATAAAACAAAGCGATTATACCACCAAAAGCCATTCATGCACTCCCTTGCAAAAATCCCGCGATCGCGAATGAGCAACATTACTATTATCGATGACGCCACAGCATTAGGGTAGTTGATGATGTCACAGCATTAGGATAGCTGATGACGTCACGGCCTTAGGGATCGTTAGGCAGCCACAGACAGATGGCTACGCAACGCCCCTAATCGTTACTGTGTGGCTAATACTTTTCCCAAACGGTAATGATAGCCATGTATATTGAAGCGATCTCATAAATACATTATTAGGAGGGATAATTGCCGTCGCGGTTGCCATAGACTTCCAGCGGAAGGTGATCTGCTTTTGTTTTCCCGCGCGCTCGTTTGTCCCTTTTTCGTAAGTGTTTTTCGTTAATCTTTTTTTTCCGTTACTTGTACAGTATTTGTTTTTCTTTTCGTTAACAGTTTGTTCGAGTCTTCCAATAACTTTCCTTATATATACCGTCGGACAGAAAATATGAAGAGAAAAAACGATTTCATATCTGATACACAAAACATTTTTTTTGTTATTATTATTTCCTTCCAAATACCACCGAATTTGAAAACGAATTAAGTTAATATAAATAAAAAAATCCGGTTAACCTCTTCAATCGCATTCGAATAACCTGTTTTCTAGTAATGGCTGTTTTGTTGACCCGCTCGTAGCATGACCGGTCAGACGCGCGTGTGCATGAAGGGGAAAAATAGGTCCTTTGCGTAACGAATTAACGTGTGTTCGTGTGTATGTGTATTCGTGAGTGCGTCGCCAAAGATACATCTGAAATTGGCCGTTTTCTTCGTGTTGCTTGCAGTTTTTTTTTTTTTTTACTTTTTCGTATTCTTTTTCTTTTTTGTCCGCCTTGCTATTTTTTTCTTCATCTCTGCGTCTTGTGGTGAGCTGGAGAGGCGGCGATGATAAATATAGTTGTTTTTTAAAAATTACTCATGATCTCATTGTTGTTTGTTGTTGTTGTTGTTTCTAAAGATTCTCTTGTGTCTGCTCTTCTAAAAAAAATCTCCCGTAGGTGTTGTTATCTTCATTTTTTTCCCCATCGGTGTTGTAATGCGTGTGTCCCCGTGGTGTGTGTCTGTGCCGCCCTTCAGTGTTGTGGAAGCTGTGTTTGGGTCCGCCCCCGAGCCGAGGCTGCGTCGGGAGGCAGGCAGGCAGGCAGGCAGGCAGGCAAGCAGGCAGGCAGGAGGTGACTTCGGGGTTGTTGTTGTATTACAGGCGTTGTCTTATTCTCGTCGGCTGTGTACTTCGCCGACGCTGGCTCTGACCGCTCCTGCTTCAAAAGCATCCCCGACGCGTTCTGGTGGGCGGTTGTCACAATGACCACGGTTGGCTATGGAGACATGAGGTAAATTTGGACGCCGCTGCGACTGCTCCCTCTCTTCTCCTTCCCCTTTATTTTATTTTTTATTTTTTTTCTTGTGTGTGTGTGTGATTTCCAGCTCTTCTCTGATTCCATACCCGCCCCCCTCTCTAAACCTAACCCCCACCCCCTAGCCCACATACCCCCTTCTCTCCTCTTCTTTTTTCGCCCCCCCCCCCCTTCCTCCCTCTCTTTCCCTCCACTTCCCTCCCTCCTCCCTCCACGCAGTGACACCGATCAGCTGGACGTCCTTATGGCTCTTGGCCCGAGGAACCTTTCATTTTTTCCGATTTTATTTATTTATTTTTTTTTTATTATTATTATTCCTGAAGGATCGGCTTCAACCTCCTGTACATAGACACACTTCCCTCTTTCCCTCCATCCCGAGGCGCGCGTGTGTGTGCGGGCCTCCCAAAGCAGAGTAGCGTGAGGGGCGAGGGCCACACGCACACAACCACGTCCGAATTCTTCTCTCTTCTCTCTTCTCTCTCTCTCTCTCTCTCTCTCTCTCTCTCTCTCTCTCTCTCTCTCTCTCTCTCTCTCTCTTCTATCTTCCTTTTGGAAAAAAAAACTCGTCAGTAACCTTACCTTTTTTCTTTTCTCCCTTTTCTTCCTAGCTTCCGCCTCTCTCGGAGCGAACGCACAAACACACACACACACACACGCAGTCCTCCTTCGCTGTCCTTCAGGATCGCTCCCCCCCCCCCTCTTCTCTCTCTCTCCTTCCCCCCACAGTTATCCATCCCTCCCTCTATCCCCTCCGCCCACCCCACCCTCCCACCCATATAATTTGACATCATTATTTTTATTTGACATCCGTCGCCATCTTCTCGTCCTCTCTTTCATCTTCTTCATCTCCGATCATCTCTTCTTCATCTCTCCCTTCTTCTTTTTTTTTATTTCTTCTTCTTCTCCTTCTTCTTCTCTCTCTCTCTCCCCGGGGAGGAGGCCTCAATGTGTCTGTTCCTATTGCAGGTGTGGTTCTCTTCTCAAGCGCTGTGTACTTCGCCGAGGCAGGTTCAGAAAAATCTCACTTCAAGTCAATTCCCGATGCCTTCTGGTGGGCGGTCGTCACCATGACAACTGTGGGCTATGGAGACATGACGTACGGTTCTTCTTAGAGCCTCTTTCCCCCCTCCCTCCCCCCCACACTCCCTACTCACCCCCCCCCACTCCCCACCCCCTTTAAATGATGTATTAACCCCCCACACGTATTTTTTTTTTTAATTAACTTCACCCCCTGCCTCCCCCCCCCCCCAATTACTCCCCACTTGTTTGGCCGGAGTTGCATGCCTAACTGTCAAGCCCTGGCCAACCCGCCCCCCCCCCTCCCTCTGAGCTGTCAAGCGGTCTCACAACCCCCCCCCCATCCCCCCAAAAAATACCCCTCACTTTTTTATGAATTATTAATTTTATCTATTGCTATTTTTTTTTAATTCTCTTCTCTCTCTCAGTGATATATATAAAAAATGCTCACTTTTAGCATGGACACAACATTTATATCTAGATCCGTTTATTCTGTTCTTAGATTTCTTAAAAAAAAAAAAAGCACGGTTCACATTTTTTCTCTCTCTCTTTTTTTTCTTCTTCTTAATTATCGCCAATATTTGAAAATATTCACTCCCCATTTTTTCTAAATAAAGCATGAGACCACATTTGTCTATCACCTCGTCAGGCTTTCTCTCTCCACAGACTCACTAAAACAAATTAAAAAAAACAAACAAAAAAAAAAAGCATGACTCAAAGAACACTTGACAGACTAAACACACTCCGTCGCATGCACTCTTGACTAGTCACACTCCCCCCCCCCCCTCCACCTCCCTCCCAGTAAATGCATGAACGCAGTCACGCTCGCATGTTAAAAAGGCCTGATTTTCACCCTTACTGTATGTCTCTGAAGCCCGGCGCGGACATCCGAACACCGTCATCACATGGGTCTCTAAACGTTGCATTGGTGACAACTCGTTCGAACACTCCCGTGACTGCAACTACGAACACGTGCAGATACACTCTCTCAAAAAAAAAATAATAATAGTAAAAACGCTAAGGGGAGGGAGAACAGTTTTTTATATAATAATTTTTAAAAACATCATATATATTCATATTCTACAACTCACTTTTAAAAAAAAGGCACGCAAAGTGGGCACGTCAGATGGGTATAAACACTAGCTTGTCTCCTCTTTTGGCTCCCCCCCCCCCCTGTCTCACCCACACACACACCACCCCCGCCACGCGCCCCGCCCCCCCATGTCACGTGACTGCCGCCGTGAGCCTCGTTCTATTCATTCATTCTTCCGTCTCACTCACGCTCCGGCCGTCACGCGGGGCGGTGGGGCGGCGCTCGGCTCGTGAGACTAGCAGGACGATACGCCCTCGTGTGAGAGGCCTCATGGCAACATGCAGATGCACGTGCATGCTCACGCGCGCGGGCGTACACATACACACACAAATACATAGGTATAGGTATGTATGTGCTATAGATAGATAACTATGTGCGTGTTTCCTCATATATGCATATGTTCACTCAAACACATTTGCTCAAATAAACCTTCAGAGATTTTCCCAGCCCAAATACAGTAATAACAGAGACCTCGTAGAAATCAAAACGAAGTGCATCCAACCTCAAACCGAGAAGTTAACTGGTCCATTTGCTGTTAATAACCTGTGCTTCCTTTCCCTTCACTCGAGGTGCCAGGTATTCATTTAACGCCTGATTATTTTAACGGAGGTCGAGTTGCCCCGTCATGAAATAATGATTATAATAAAAATAGTTATAATAATAATATTCCACATGGAGAGACATAAAGGTAGATAATTATAAAGTGAGATAGTGAGAGATTTAGATGCCATTTTTGTTGGTTAAATACAGATGTTAGGAAATTACCCCAACACGATTTTATTCAAAAGAAAGAACGATAGATATAAAACACAAAAAATACACACAATATCACACATTCATCCGTAGTTAAAGCCACGCTCTCTGCATGTGTGTTCGTTATCCTCACCGTCTTTCCTTATATTTACACTGACCCATCCACCGTTTTCTTTTGTGATGTTATTCTCACCGAGTTGTATTAGTGACTCTTCAAAAACTCAAAAAACTGACATATTTTGGACAGTTATTATTATTTTCCCCTTTATTTTGATTTTCGTTGTGGAGTGAAGTTTATAAAGCACACAAATAGCAAGAGTGAGTGAGAAAGAGAGAGAGAACGAGTGCGTGTTCTTGGACAATAAAGCATGATCTTTTTTCCCGTTTTCTTCCAATGAACACGGCCGCCTATCCAAGCCTGCACTCGCTTTTTCTACTAAATTTATATATATGATTTTTCTATTCATATATATATGTATGTATATATATTGTATGCAAGTATGTATATATACATATAATATATATATATATATATATATATATATATATATATATATATATATATATATTGTATGTAAATGCATATATATATTATATATATGTATATGTATTCGTATCATATTCTGGAAAGTTTTAGAATTTTATGCCTAAATTTCTATTCTACTTGCTTAATTTGAATTTATGAAATTTTATATTATCTCAATTGCTTTCAAATTGAAATTTCTAGAATACGATACCATCTATAACTACGCTTCGGCTTTCTTTTGATATATATATATATATATATATATATATATATATATATATATATATTATATATATTACATATATATAAGCTCTTTACTCTTATTGAACTTATTTCCTCACTTTACTACTCACAAAAAAGCTTTCCAAATACCACACAGTTCGTATCCGATCCTCTTTAGTCCCCAACAAAACTTTTATACTTTTTAACATCCTCTTTTTCCCGCTCTCTCGATAGAGAATCCAAACCTTTAATGATGATGATCCTTATACTGCCAATTCCCTTATATTTCCTCCACCATTCCTCCTCAATTTGCTTTTTTTTATATAAACCTATTCTTCCCCAAACCTCAGGAACTTTGATCATTAATATATATTAATTACCAAATCCAATGTTCCCCTTTTTTTGGTAATTCTTATATCTTAGAAGAAGAATTTCATGATAATAACAAAGGCCTTTCCCTTTAAAAACCCTCCGTCCTTTTTCCCGCCTTTTTTTTTTTTGCTCGAACGTAATTTCAATTTTTATAAGAAAAAAATAAGATGGTATAGGATGCCTCTAAGTGTTTAAAAAAACTCATTTTGGTCTTTTGTCAGGAAATTTAAACTATCCACTGCCATGCATATACTGAGTAAACAAACCTAATATATGTTTGTGTTTTTTTTTTTTTAGAAAATGTAATATGTAAAACCCATAGTTTTTTATTTATTTCTCTCCATCGTAATAACTGTTCTTGTAGACCATCTCTCTAAATTCAAAGACATTCAGCAGTGTTAACTCCTCTCTAATATTAGATTATAAAATAAATAAATGAAAAAAAGAAGAAAAAAATATGTATATTCTTAGTTCTGTAATGGATAGAACCCCCCCCTAATTCTACCCTCCCCCTCCCCCTCCCCCCCTTTAACCCTTGCCAAGTCAGACCTTTCTCGATAGTCATACTTGAACCCCCCCACCCCCCCCTCCCCTCACCCCTCACCCCCTCACCCCTTTAAGCTCTCGCCCTCCCTTTCACTCCCCCCTCCCCCCTTTTCCCCTTTAACCATTGTCAAGTAGTAAGTGTGTAATTTCCCCTTTAAACAACATACTCGAACACCCTTAGCCTTCACCCCCCACCCCCACCCCCCCTACGTCTTCAACTAACACCCCCTCCCCCCCTTCAGACTTTAGCCTTTTGACAAATACCTTTCACTCGAGCTTAGTATTTAACCCTAATGCATTAATTCCTTGCTTTATTGTGATTTGAATATATAGTTTCTTTTTTTTCGTATATCCTTTGGTGATTACATGTTCTAGATCTATTTCTTTCTTTTTTTTGACTATTTGATAGTAGGATATATATATTTTTCTAATTTCATCTCGTAGATTTTTATGGTAATGTGTTGTATATTAGTAGGTTAGTATGTTTAAATACAAGTATGGTGTTTATTTATTTTTTTCTTCATATATATACATAGCGTTTGTGTTTATTTTGTTTTTGTTTTTATTCACTCATTCGAAACAATTATATCTTTCAAGGAAGTGTTATAATTAGTTATTCTGTTAGACTATAATCGTAGGAGAAATATTTATTTTTTATCATCATTTTCATTTTAAATCAATCCATTGATGGGTGGCTTATCGGTCCTAAAAAAAAAAGAATTTAAAAGAAAAAAAATTGTTGATATCCATATTTAGAAGCGTTCAGTCCTAAAAAAAATATTATATACATTTTCCCTATCATCTTTATTTGTTTTTTTTAATTCTAAGGACAAAAGACCACATGCTCTCTACCTGTAATGTAGCCATATTTCATTCAAATCCCAAAATTTAGTCGCTTATATAAGACTAACCTCACACTAGACTATTTTAACCTGATGTGACCTAAAACGCCCTTAACCACTCCTAGCCTAATCTACATGTCCTTACCTAACTTGACCTAGTCTAACCTAACTTGGTCTGACCTTACCGGTTGTTACCTTCCTTCCCTCCTTCTTCCTTATCCTCTTTCTCTTCCTCTATCTCTTCCTCTTCCTCCTCATCCTCCTTTACCTCCAATTCCTCCTCACTCTTCTCCTCCTTTTCCTCTTTCACTTCCTCCTCCTCCTCCTCCTCCTCCTCCTCCTCCTCCACTTTCACTTCCTCATCTTCATCCCTCACTCTCCTCCTCCTCCTTCACTTCTACCTCTTTCTCCTCCTCCTCCTTCTCCTCATTCACTTCCTCCTCCTCCTCCTCCTCCTCCTCCTCCTCCTCCTCCTTACTCCTCGCCCTCCTCCTCCTCCTCCTTACTCCTCGCCCTCCTCCTCCTCCTCCTCCTCCTCCTCCTCCTCCTCGCCCTCCAAAGTCCTTAAATCAGAAATTCCGATTTGGATGTTCATACCAACCCCCTACCCCCCCTACCCCCTACCCCTGTCCTTGCCCTTGCCTTTCATAATCTTTATCGTCCCGCTTTCCTCTCCCTGACATTCCCTTTGCCCAATTCCCTCTTTCGTAAGACTCTACTTCTTCCTTACTCCTTAACCTCAATTCCTTTATTCTTCCTCCCTTTTCCTTCTCCGCTTTTCCTTTTTTCCTTGTTTCCTCTTTTCCTTATCCTTTCTCCCTTTTCCCTTTTTCCTTCTTTCTCTTTTCCCTCTTCGCTCTTCCCTTTTCCCCTCTTCCTTTATCCCTTATCCTTTCTCCGTTTCCTTTTCCTTCCATTATCCCTCTTCTCCTTTTTCCCTTATCCTTTCTCCTTTATCCTTTCTCCCTTTGCCCTCTTCCCTAATCCTTACCCTTCCTACCTTATCCTTTTTCTCTTTTCCCTCTTCCCCTTTATCCCTGTTTCCCTCCGCTCTTTCTCTTTCCCTTTTCTCTTTCCCTTCTCCCCTTCTCCCTTATCCGTCTTCCCTTATCCCTTTTCTCTCCTTCTCCCTTCTTCCTTTTACTTCCCTTCTCCCCTTCTCTATTCCCCTCTTCCCCTGTATCCCTTTTCCCTTTCTCCCTCTCCCCTTCTCCCTCTCCCTTTCTCCCTCTCCCCTTTATCTCTTTCCCTTTCTCCCTCCCCCTTTCTCCCTATCCCTTTCTCCCTCTCCCTTACTCCCTCTCCCCTTTATCTCTTTCCCTTTTTCCCATTTCCCTTTCTCCCTCTCCCCTTTATCTCTTTCCCCTTTCTCCCTCTCCCCTTCTCCCTCTCCCCTCCTCCCTCTCCCCTTCTCCCTCTCCCCTTTCTCCCTCTCCCCTTCTCCCTCTCCCCTTATCTCTTCCCTTTATCTCTTTCCCCTTTCTCCCTCTCCCCTTTCTCCTCTCCCTTTCTCCCTCTCCCCTTTCTCCCTCTCCCCTTCTCCCTCTCCCCTTTCTCCCTCTCCCCTTCTCCCTCTCCCCTTCCTCCCTCTCCCCTTCTCCCTCTCCCCTTTCTCCCTCTCCCCTTTCTCCCTCTCCCCTTTCTCCCTCTCCCCTTTATCTCTTTCCCCTTCTCCCTCTCCCCTTCTCCCTCCCCCCTTCATCCCTCTCTCCTTCTCCCCTTCTCTTTCTCCCCGTCTCCCTCTCCCCTTCTCCCTCTCCCCTTTATCTCTTTCCCTTTTTCCCCATTTCCCTTTCTCCTTCTCCCCTTCTCCCTCTCCCTTTCTCCCTCTCCCCTTTCTCCCTCTCCCCTTTATCCCTCTCCCCTCCTTCCTCTTACTTCCCATTTTATCCCCAAAATGATCATTGTTCGTTTATTTATATTTTCACGGGTAAATTATTGATACTGAGCCGGTATTTCCCTTTTTTACTATAGCCGATCCCTCCAAGGACAGGTGGTAACAAGCTTAGGTTCAGTTTGCAACAAAGTAGATCTTTGATTATTACTATTAATCAATCAATTAATTAAATATTTTTTTTTTGGATATATATACTGCAAGCACAGATACCTACCTATATTTTTGTGAACAGGTCTTTCTTTTTCTTTTTTTAAAGGGTTCTATACTCTTGATATCTACAGTCTCAGCAGTTTCGAAGCTTTTTCCATTAATTTTTAGTCTAGTCTGTACATTTTGTAGATTACTGCAGTATTCATCTCTTTATGCCTTGTGAGAGAGATCAGAGACCGGAGGACCATCACAAAAACTGTTTAAAGAA